TGTAGACGACCGCCTCGCACACACGAGGAGAGAGCGAGAGAGAGAGAGAGAGGGGCGTGTCGCGCTGCCTCTCTCATGGGGTTCTTCGGCGCCAGTTTTGCATTTCCGGGCTTTTCAGCCAATCAGGCGGGACCTAGTCCTGCCCCTGCTTCTGGCGACGGCTCCTCCCCTGCAGCAGCTGCTCCCCCCCCCATACACACAGAGGGGGTTTCCTGCCATATGGAGACGCCGTTTTAAGTCAGTTTTGTCGGCTGACTCAAAGGACATTTCATGTTCGTGTAAGGAAATACCTGGTCCTTCACACTAATAATGCTGGTTTTCTCCCCCCGGTTGATACCCAGAAGAGATCTGCCTGTTTCGTTGCTTGATATAAGTCAGAAACAGCTCGGAAGATACAGTCATTAGAACACCAGTGAAATTAGAGCAAATACCAACTTTGCATGACTATCATCACATCTAATAATTAGAAGCACATGGCTTTCATGGATCCAAAAGAAATTATATTCTTTTCTGTTGGCAATTGAGAGTACCAACAGAGCTAATAATGTCTAGCTAGCCAGGGTTTGGCTTTTTTGGTTTTGTTTTGTTGGGGTTTTTTAAACAACACATTTTCAATTAATTTACCTCACTTTTGGTCCATGTGTTACTCAAACAAAAGTTTTCCCTATGAAAAAAAAACCTTCTGCAGGCAAATGCCTGGGTCATATTAACATTTTCCATGATAACATGTGGTACTTTTTTTCTCAGCAAAAGTTCAATATTGTCAAGATGAAATTGTTATTTTGTATTACTGAATTTATAGAATTGGTTAATGAAATCTTACACCTTTGCAGCAAATGCTGAAAAAAATAAAACCTTGAAGACATTTCAGCATAGAAACTGATCACATGCTCAGGGTCCTTATATATTTCTGAGAATCTCACTGTCCAAATCTATGTAACCTTTCTGGGGACCCAATGGCTAGAACTCACGACACCTCAGCTTTCTCACATCAGGAAGTCAGCTTTCCAAATATGTTTTTTAAATTCTTGGGGAAAGAAACCAAACAAATCCACAAACATAACTCAATAGTGTCTCATGTGACCATAAAATACAGTAACACTGAATTTGATCTGGAAGAGGAAATGTGAGAGCAGCTGAGTAGCACTTTAGTACACACCACTGCTGTAGGTGTGGGCACCTTAAGTTAGAACTTCCAAAGATGAATTCAAGCTCCTCCTCCCTATTGGTTTGCAAGGATAAAGCATTTTAAAGTTTTTCCTCCCAGTAGTTGGACATTGTGTACTAAGTACCACAACAGCAATTACATCACCGCCATTATTTCAATAAGTGATTTAACTTAAAATTGAAAGTAATGTGTTACTAGTTCCCTTACTTTCTCAATATACAGAGGAATTAGAGAAGCTGGAGCAAGAAAGATTGGCACTAGAAGCTACCATTAAAGAAAATGATTTTGAAGAAGGAAAAAGGGGCATCTGTGGACTCTTCAGAAAAGCCACCACACTCAATATCTCAAAACATGAAACAAAAAAGGGTAAGTTCCAAAATGACAACTTCTCCCTGACCCTTCAATGCATCACATTTTCACTAATATATAAACTGAACTTCGATTCCAAGGCAAAAACTCCGGAACCATGAAGAAGCCCCTGGAACAGGACCTACCCTGTGCAAACCTGTCTTAGTGGCCACAACCTTGCAATGCAGAACAGAGTGAACACCCTCTAGCAAGACAGGGTACTTTGCACGACACAAATTTAACCCCCTCCCCTAATTAGCTAGATGTGCTTCTCAGCTCAGCTTGTGTTGCATTTTATTTGTCAAAATATAGCAAATGGTCACTACCGTTTGAAGAATACAGAGCAAGCTGGTTTTGGTTTTTTTGTGGTTGGGTTTTTAATAGGGTGTTTTCAAATTTTAAACAAGGGGCCCTTTTTTCTCTTCTCTAAAGAAAACATGAACATAACCACAGTAATAGGCACCAAGCAACCTCACTTTACTCAAAATACAAACACAAACCCAGTACCCATCTGAAAAGCAGGTAAAAATAGCACTACTGCTCTATATTCTAAGCATAATTTCATAAAAATGCACAAACGAAGGTGGTAAAAGTACTGGAAGTATATGTACAGCATGCTGTCAAGTAACTAATTAACATATAACTTACAAGTATAGATGACAAAAATTCCATTTCAGATGTAGTAAAATGATACAAAAAAACAGAATCAAAAGTCTCATTTCACAACTGCTAGGCTGTAATGATAATGACCCACCTGAAGCCACACTTGTACACAGACAAGTATTTTCAGAGTTTTCACCTACAGAGACTATTACATCTGGCTGTGAATGCAACTCCCACTGGTATCAAGATGATCTACACACTGAAAACATAAAATGTCATTTTTCTTTACTTGGCAGACTTCAGTTCATTTTGCAGGCTTCAGCAGAATGTATTTTTATAACAAATATCACAAGAATGTGCACCCCTTTTTCAACTACCCTTTTTGATTTAGTCCCGAACAGCACAAAGGAAACACATATTACACACTTCGGCTCTATAGATGAGATAGATGATGTTAATAAATATCCCTGCCTCTCTAGTTTTGCTTATACATACATCCTCTCCAGAGACATTGCATCTTCCAGCACAGATGCTAGAACTGTAGAGAAAAGCCAATAAATGCTTTAGAACTATCCTGTCCACACTCTAGAAATACAGGGTAAATCAAACAAAGCATTTTCAGAACCTTGCAGAACCTAAAGCAGCCTGTCTACCCATTTAGAAAACTGCTCTGACGCCATCTTTTTGAAATCATTGTAAGAGAAACAGTGATAAAGACACAGGCTTCAAAAGATGGCATGAGAGAAGGCAAGCCTGAATACCTTTTAAAGCCAGCTAAGCAAACAGCCTGCATCAAAGTTTATTTTCAATTAACAACTCTCTCAAGCATAAGGAAGTTGCCATGTATGCTTCTGTTCTCTGCCTTCCAGTTTTAGCTTCTCCTATCCTCTCACTTTACCCTGTTAGCTTTCTTTGTCCAACATCACAGTGCATTCCATGGACCTCTTGTGTCTGAGCTTGTAAATGATGCAAAATTATGCCATTTACTTCTGAAATCTATCAGTTGTTTCCAAATTGCTTTTAAAGGCCCCAGTGGTTAACTAAAGCTCCAGTTTAGGTTAACTAAAAAGCTCCAGAAAACAAATAATCAGATAACCCTCTTCAAGATATTATAATCTAGTGAAAACGTATTACACAAGCTTTGATTTTCATACATATTTAGATTTAAACTACAAAAATTATGTCAGAAACTGCTCATTTTCCTGAAGCTTTCTCCCCACTTGGCTGTATAAAACTACTTACTGTCTCACTTGTCAGAAACCCTTCTACAAGTCTTCCACATTTTTTCTTTCTCATTGCAGAGAGCACCATTAACACAATGCAGTCAATGCATGTGGGTGAATTCAATCAGAAGCTGCTAGAAGCCAGCAGTCAATTTAAAAAGAAGCAAGGGAAAGGAACAATTGACATTTGGTGGCTGTTCGATGATGGAGGTATGGAATTCAAGAACAGCAGAGAGAGAGATTTCTGTGTTACCAACTATAAAAACAGACTTGAGAACCTGCACAAAACTATTTTCTCTTAAGATTACATAGTCAATTCTCTGTCTGGCTTAAATGCTTTAAGATTAACTTATCTCCAACACTGCCTAAGTGAAGGATGGAATTGTTACCACACAATGCACTAACTTGATCTTCCTGCAATTTTATATGTTCTTCCAGGTCTAACAATCCTAATTCCTTACATTCTAACTATCAGGAAGAAGTGGAAAAATTGCAAATTAAGGATCTTTACTGGAGGTAAAGTCAATAGGATTGAAGAAGAAAAACTAGTGTAAGTATTACTATATTTGTCGCACTGTCTAAAGCGTTTGAAGTGATGCTGAACATAGTGCAGATACAGCAGAAAGCTGGGAATTTCTAAGCCCAACTGGTTTATTGTACAGTGGGCAGCAAAAAAAAAAAAAATAAATTACATACTTGATAGAAAGGTATTGAGCTTATGGCACAGCCCTCAAGGCTCAGTGTAAATGAGCCACTGTAAATGATTGCCAAAAGAAACTCACATCCAGCAATTTTTACCATTAATAGCTCATATTCCCTTCTCCAAGAAGAGCATTCTGAAGTCTGTAATGAGAATATAATTACTTCTATAGGATTTACATGATAGTCCAGTTAACAGTAAGTGAAACTGCACATGAAGCATCTCATATGCAAATACCATAGACAGATAGCTCACATAAATGTGATTAATCATGGTAAAATGTAACAGAATAAGTTAATAAATTTTAAATCTAATTTTATTTAGCTTTTGTAAAAAAGACTAGATTTCAGAAACACTATTTGCCTTCAAGCAAATGAAAGGTACTATTATAAACTTATTTTCATTATGTCAGTATGTAGGACCTTTCCTTCCAAGGAACTTTACACACTCAGGGCACAGCCATTTCACCATGGAAAGCAGGCCAATCTGGGATGGAGGCCTGGAACTGCTTAACAAAGAGCAGCAGCACCATGTAGGGAGTTAAAAACAAAATAACCAACCAAAACTCCAATGAAAAGCAAAATGGTTGCAAGGACAGGAGGTAGAATTTAGCCAGCATCACTAGGATCACTGTGCCTTGGAAAGACAGCTGCCACAGGGATGCTTCCTTAAGCTTTTGCTTTCACATAAAGCAAACTTTACCCCACTGTGGTTCTGTCAGCTGTAAGGATTATCTTAAAGTTAACATACTTCTGTAGAAGTGATTCACAAGTGTTTGTACAAACTATTCTTATCATTGGGTAAAAAATAGCCTGAGACCTGTACAAGGACCTGCAGGGAAATGTTCTCTGCTCCCTCTCCAGAGTCTGCCCAAGCTTGGTTGTTCAGGACCACACCTAGCTCCTGGATCTAGACAGTCAGGTCACCGGATTTCATTGAGAGGATGCAGGAGGTTTTGACATCAAATGGGATTTGTCAGGACATGACAGATCTTCACAGAGGAGTTCTGTCACCTGTATACACTGCTTATCCTACAAAAGCCAGAGTCAACAGCATGGCCAGTACAGTTGACAAGGACCTAGTTTGTCTCCAATAAAACATTATGTGTACATACTTCTATGTACACACTAGTCTTCCTCAACAGCATATTCAACCACACTCAGAAGCCTTCAGAGAGACAAATCCAAAGGCCAGGTGGCTATTCCATTCACTAGGCTGATCTATTAAAGCAAAATCCAAGTACAATTTAATCTGTTGTATTTCCAAATTAGAAAATAAATTTATCAGGACTTTTGCTAACAAGCAATTCCCCAAATATTAAATCCATACCACAAAAGCTAAGACTTTGCTCTTTTTGGTGTTCAGAACAAGGGTTGCCCAAGGGACATCAAGATTTATCTACGCAGTATGCTGTTCTTATATAATAAAAAGTAGTAAATTCTCAGCTCACAAGCAAATACATATTTCTATCATGATTTGCACTTAGGAACTTCCTGACCTTTGCAAATTCTAAAGTTTACATTTAAAAAAAATGAGGTTAGGGGGAAGAAGATGCAAGCTCCCAACCCTGCTTCAACCAAGAGCAAAACTGACCTAAGTAAACTGTTCTAACCTCAGCACAAACACAGAGTTATAAACTATCCCTGCTGCCAACTGGGTCAGAAAATCAAACCAATTTTTTTTATACAAATATGTAAAGACAACAGGTGAGGAGACCAACAGAAATTCATAAATGAGAAAGATTCTTTAAGTATGACACATCAACCTTCTGGACGAAATTTTCACCAACACAGAGACTATCAGTGTCGTACATACTCCATGCATAGAATTCTGATAATAACAGAACAACGGAAGCCTTCTCTAAGTATTGGATAATTCTGTCCTACTGTATTTTTAGTATTTTTCCTTTATAATTCAAGCTTTTGCAAATACTTAAAATACCACTTCTTTCTGTAAACACTCTTCCCTCTGCTATTCGTTTCAATTTTTTACAATTTTCATTGATCATGAGTTAAACAAATTACACTAAAGCAACCACATCTATCCAGTTCTGTAACTGGAAACTGAAACACTAAAGCATTTAAAGTAATTTGTCAAATAGTTAAAGATAATGAGACAACTGTTTGATATCTTAACTCATTTAAGTGTGCTCTTTGATGCAAAGCAATCAGAAATACAGTGGTAAAATGTTCTCTCCTTTGTTTTCAGGATGGCTTCACTTCTAAGCAAATTCAGAATAAAATTTGCTGATATTAATATCATTTGTGATATCAATATAAAGCCCAACAAAGAGAGGTAAGAAACATTAGCAAAATCCATTATTTAGCAGCTGGCATTTATCAGGAGCTTGTTCCTTTTATGTTGAGCATTAAAAAAACCCAAAACACACCACAAAGAATAACAGTCACTTTATCACAATCATTTGCTAAGTACCTAGAGCAGGAAAAAGAAAACAGCCTTTTAAAAAACTCAAAGGGTAAAAACTAAAGGCACCCTTTTTCTTAATGTTGTAATAAGGCTTAATTTTAATAAAGTCTAATTAGAAACCATACTTATCAGCCACTAATTTTAACAGGCATTTTACGGTGACTTTTCATATCTGTTTAGGTTGCAATAGACTTCCCTTCATCATATTAGTCAGTCAGTCACAGTTCTCTTGTAGCTCACCATCTCTGCCAACTCAGCCTTCTGGGTTTTACCATGAATTCATAAACTTAATGTTTTTATGGACAAACATAATCACACTTCTCGTATCTCAATATTGTAATACTTTCCTATTACTCAAACATAATGAAGGTTCAATGATTTTTTAGAAACTAACTCATCTATAGAATTAATTAAGTTAGTTAGAACTAACTCTTAGGCAAAGATTAGGCAGTTGGGAAACAGTGCTCAAGAAGCTCCACCTCCAGCTGTATTTGTTAGAAAAATAACCTAAAGTCCCTGCTTTCTAAAACATGTATCTACAGAAATCACCTATTTCTTCTGCTTTATGTAGACAAAAATGTATAGCAGGTTGCTCAGAGTACAACTGAATCTTAACTCAATTCATAATATTGCTCCTGGTCTTAAACATCCTCTGAAAATTATCTCACCTTGCTATGCTCTCTTCCACCCTGTTCTTCCCTCCCCTCTTGATAGGTGTAGAGCTATTTCATAGTCAAAGGGCTCCTCCTCTGCACTTAAAGCCTTTCCTCTAAGTTCAAGTGCAATCTCAGGTTAATCCCTGCAACTTAATAAACCAAATGCAGTGTTTAATTATCCTCAAACAACCTTTTAATTATCTTCAAATAACTCAAACTTATTGAAGTGGCACAGATATAACTTGAGGCACAATACAGCAAAGAACACAGATTTTTAATGTTTTTTAGCTACAATGATAGTGGGGCCTGCAATACAGTGTCTGTGAAGTAAGTTAGAGAGTTCATATGCTGCAGCTAGGCCTCCCTGTAATTCCTCTTTCAGCTGGAAATTCTTTGAAGAGATGATTGAACCCTATCGGCTCCATGAAAGCTGCAAAGATATAACAACTGCTGAGAAATTAAAGCGAGAGACTCCATGGAAAATTACAGATGCAGAGTTGGAAGCATTCAAGGAGAAGGTAAAACCTTACCTACCCTTTCTCATCTGTACCATTTTTTACACTCCAGATGTTTCAAGCGATTAGTAAGAAAATGTGAAACACCAGATACAGAATTAGAAACATAGCATGTGCAAACCTGTGTTTGATATTTACTAATTGGATTTATATTGCAACCACTGCAGACGAGTGTTACGGTTGCCTTATTCAGCACTCTGTAAGACCTTGGCATGTTTACAGAGTATTTTCCAGGCTGATGAGCAGCTCTGCCCACATCAGAGCCAGCCATATGAAAACCACCTCTGAACCAGAAGCCACACAGTACTGTGCTGAGCCTGAGCTAGAAATCTCTGCGGGGAGGTTTATTAAATGGCTCCACTGTTTTGGAGCTTGAACCTCTTTAAGAGTGCAGTTCCAAACATTCACCTCTTTGAAATATTTAGAACTGAATCCAGACACTACAACTGGCTCTAGGAATTTTTCCAAAGACAAGATTTAACACGGATTCTTACTTCACTAGCAGAGTGAAGACTAAACCTACCTAGAATGCAGGAGCTCTCCAGCAGCTCAGAGGCTCTCAAAGGCTGATGTTGGCTGATTTACTGGGTGAATTAGAGCCCAAGCTGCTCTTTATTTGTTGGAACACACCTTTTTAGCAATGAGCTGCGAGGCTTCATCAGGCCAGTGCCAAAAGGATACTGCAGACTCCTCCACCTGTAAGAGTCAAGTTCTCCTGTAACTGTCAGAAAATTCATCTAGCAATTTTATTTATGGCTCCTGTTGGACTAACCTGAAAGCACTGAGAGTTTAGTTATCTCCACTTTATGGTGCTGGTAACTTCCTCAGCACTGCAAGGATTGTGAGTCTGAGCTCAGAGCTGCTAGAGGTCACAGCCTGACATATTAACATAAGCTGAAATCAATGGTGATTTAAGAGAACACTGTACACTACCAACTGCAGCAGCTGGGAAGCAGACTGACTGCTCACTGTATTACCCTTTCCAGAGACATGATGAACACCATAAAGTTATGGCAGTCAGCTCTGGGCACAAAACTTTTGAAGTACTCTTAGCATAAATCAACAAAACTTGGCAATCAGAGCCCTTAGAATATCTCTGTATTAAAAAAAACCAAAACAAACAAGCAAACAAACAGGAATATAATTCCAGATATACACACTTGGTGTGCAGAGACAGTGAGGATACAACAGGGAAAAAAACCCAACATGATTAAGCTTGGTCTTATCTAGGTCACTAAGGAACAAGGGAAAAAACCCATAGGTTTAAAGCAACCTGCAACACAAAAATGCCAAATCTCTCTATAAAATAAGAACAGCAACAAAACTTTGGCATACACACCTGGAAAGACATGCCCCTTATCTTCAGAAGTAAGGCAGTTCTGGGAGTTTTATGGAGGACATTAGATCACATTTAAAATCCAACAGAGAAAAAACTGGCAGCACAGATAAAGGGTTATGTTTTGAGACGACTCTCCTGAGAGCAACCAGCTAAATTATTAGGATTCCTACCTATATAACATGTACAAAAAAAAAGCAAAAGTTCTGTAGAGAAGTAAAATTTAAGGTCTGAATGAAGAAAAACCAGCTTTTTACCTTCTCCAGGAAAAGAAAGAATAATTTAACATACATCTACTTCCCATGCTGCAAGCTCCCTGTACACAAACCTGTTCTATTCTGTTGCTCCCTATGACTTAAGTTATAAAAATGTTGAGGGCCTGAGCCTGACCATAAAGTAATCCTGGCTGACTCCCCCAGTAACAGTCATTCATGCAATTTGTACAAACCCATGCAAATGCACAATGCATAAAGCAGCTCGGTCTCACTCCAGACTCTTTATCTTTTGTTTCAGAGGTGAATTTCTGGCAAGGTGCTCATTTACACCCTGATGTTCAGCCCTACCAGCACGGCAGCTGGACACTTACAAAACAGATTAATTAACATATTAATTGCCACCAAACAATAGCACAAAATTCTCCGCATAGCTCCTATACTTGATAGCCAAAGAAATACTTAAAAACTATGCCAGAGCTAGCTCTGGTACCATCTCAGTACAAAAATAATCCCCATCCTCAGGAAACCTTACTCATTGGTGAACACCTCTGGCCCCCACATAACTACACTAATCAAGAAACATGGTTTAGCTTCATATCTTGGCATCTCTAGCATTCTGGACCACTGAGCAGACCTGGATTTCAATGCCAACAAAGCAACAGCAGAAAACGTGCTGGCAACAGGTGAAAGTCCATAAGGCACCAGAAATGAGGATCACTGACTTAACTGTTTGGTTTTTTTCTTTTCCCCTGTTTTGTTTTAATCAGAGTTACCGCCAAGTCCGTCTGAACGAACTCCTACAGGAGCACTCGAGGGCAGCTAACCTCATTGTCCTGTGAGTTGCAAGACTTTGGTTCTAACTTGGAGAATAATCTAACGTGTAAAGGGATTCCGGACTAGTACAAGAGAAACACTTGTGTTAATTCACTGTGGGCAAAAATAATCTTTTAAGTACCTTTTGAAAGATTTGCATCCGGACTAATGGTTCTCTGGGATGACACTGAACATGAATGTTTCCTAGTATTTCTTCATTATTTCTTCTTGTAGAGCTTAAAACAAACCTCTACACATGAACAAGTGTCAAAAAATGTAATCTTTACATCCAGATGTACATGTTAAGTGTTACACCGGCTTACTCAACTGCAGAAAACACACATTTTCCTTTATTTTCCCATAACTAATTAACAAAGTTAAAGAAAGCATTGTTTTGGTTTGCACATAAGAAATGGAGTTGTTGGCCATGACCTACTTGGAACTTGGTAAAACTGATTAAGGATGATGCAACTGCATAAAGAAAATATGCCACCAATAAAATCATTTGTTTAAAAAGGAATTTTCAGAATCAATTTTCAGTTAGAGAAACACTTTTTATACACAGCTCCAATAAACTGCTTAGTATTTGTGATGCCCAGATAAACTCCTTTAGCTCTATTCATTCAGTCTCCGAAAAGGGGGTGATCAGGGCATGTTTACCATAAATTGACCCATACTTTAAAACTCCCATCTCACAATATTTCCAGATCAGAAAATAAACTGATAGACTGTGAAACTGTGCATGTATTGTATTTTTATCCTTTAAAAAATTTTATGTGTGGGTTTTATGACCCTGAAAATGCTTCTTCACCAGTTTAAGGTTACAATCACAGGCAGTCTGTGTCCAGTACAACCAGCCATGTTAATGACACTAACCAGGTGAGCAGGAGTTCACAAGACTAAGGTCTAATAGTAGCTTTGTAAGATTAAAAAAATCATGTAGTCTAATTAAGAACATTCAGAGTTGTAAATGAATAGTCAATGTTTTCTACTTAATACTTAGTGAGATGCATCTTATCAGGGCTATCCCTGTCTTCATCATGTTAACTTTATTTTTCTCTCTGTCTAAACAGGAGCCTCCCGGTGGCAAGGAAAGGCGTAGTGTCTGATTACCTGTATATGGCTTGGCTAGAAATTCTCTCCAAGAACCTTCCTCCAACCTTAATGGTCAGGGGCAACCACAAAAATGTACTGACTTTCTATTCTTAGAAAAAAAACACCAGTGCCTAGAATATCCCTTACTTGATTTCAACATTTTTAATGGCAGTGATTTATTGAAGACACACATAAGTAATACAAATCTAAAACTTAATTGACAGAAAAAGTCTTCGAAATCCAAAACAACAGTGAAGAATTAGACAAGAGAAATGTAAGTAGCCCGTACTGATGTTACACTCCAGTACATCCAAAAGAAGGGAAACCTACCTAGGTCACATGAAAAAGTAAATATTTTGAACACACAAGGAAGAAATTCCACTAATTTAATCAGTTATTGAAAATGCTTTTGATATTTATTCTAGAAAGCCAAAGTCAACTGCTGTAATACAAAAAGCATGACACTTATAAACAAGTACTTCTTTCTAACTGCACTGTCGTAGTTGCCAGTAGATACAACACAGGAGGATTATAATCAAATGCATTAACTTGGGAGAGAGAAAAAACCTGTTTGGTATCCATCAGGTCAAAGTTATAAACTGATGTAATGCAAGTAAAATACCTCTGATGATGTGCAATTATAATACTGCCAAATTAAGACCTATGCCTACAGCAGTTGCTTTTACCTAAATAGTTCTGCTAATTTATATTAATTCAAATGCTTCTAATTAACTGGCAAACAAAAACATTACTTATATAAGGATATCAACTCTGCATGACAAGACTTGATAATGTATTTTTCAAGCTCTGACATGAAACGGAATGTATGATTGCAATAATTAAATGTGTTAAGTAAATGTCACAAAGAAACTAATGAAATACTAAATATTCTGACAATTCTTGCTGTAAATGTTAGGGTTAATACAATCCAACATACTTCGAGATAATATGTACAGTGATTTCTGTGATTAGAAAACAAAAAACTCCATTAGCTAATTAGATGCCTTTGTTTTTGATTTATATAAAACATTTATCTTATTTGTAGACTTTCTAAATAATGTTAATTATACAATAACTTAAAATAAAGGAAATCCATTAAGTTGTGTAATTTTTCTGTTTTCTATTCTGCAACATTATAGTACTTTATCATTTCAGCTGTCAATAAAAGCAGCTTCTCTTTTTAATGGGGAAAGCTATATCCTATGTGTAAGCATTATTTAGATTAAAAAACATTAAGGAATTCAGCTAAATTAATTATTGCAGTTCTGCAACTCCTTTGCAGAGGTCAACTGAAATTCAAGACCCAGGAAAGACAAGGAACCTTGAATTTCACAAAATGTTTATTTTAAAGCAGGCCTCAGCACCTACTTTGCTTCAGTTACTAGAATTTAACTTGCAGAGGATCTAGCATTCCATCTCAAAAAATGACAAATATTTTCTATACATATTTTCCCAAGTTCAACATCAGCAATTCAGCAGAACATGGTAATGTAGCCCAATAATCCATATTTTATTTTCTCCATCTACTAAAGGCAGGCTCTGAAATACTGCTATTTTCCCATAATGTTCTCTCTCCACTCCTTCTTACACATTTATAACCAGGTTGAAGGATCATTTTGAAGTTTAACTGCATGACACACATATCCAAGTTTCCTAGATACCCTAGGCTTCCTGCACAGCTCCAAGTAAACCAAAACATCACATGCTGCACCTGCAAACCAGGGAAGATTATTCTCATCCTTCCCAGTGATGTCAGCAGTGACAAGGGAGCTTGTCAGGTGCTGTCAGGTCCTTCCAACTTTGTAGAGCTGCAAAGTATGCCACCCTTTCCCCCTCACTTCAGATACCATACAGGTATAATCTGCATGTGGTACCCAGACAGTCATGGAAAGAAAAAGAGCCTTATTTGTGCTTCTTATCACAACCTATAGAAGGACTTGGGGGAATTACACACCTACATTAAGCCCTTAAATTACATATCAGTGGATTGTTTCCTAAATATTCCGAAGTACTGTAATTCTCACTCTAAAGGGGACATTGACCCACACTGATTTGAGGGACCTGAGCAGATCTAAAAAGAGAAGGAGCACAATATGAACCAGCAACAGCACTGTCTATACAATTCATACTTTTCTCTCACTAACGCATCATTGTGGGCTTTGCAACAGTAACTCCCAAGAGGTAAGTTTCTGATGAACACCCACCAAAAACTAAATACTGACATAAACATCACTGTAAAACTCTGTGCTTAGACTGGACTGATTAATTACAAGATGTATTCACACAACAATATTTGACTTACAATAAAAAGCACAAACTCTAGGCACAACAGTACTTAACTACCTGAAAGTAAAGTGTTATTTCCACAAAATCACAAGTAATTTCACCACAGCAGTCACCATGGCTTCTGAAATGTGTACATGAGCAAAGTGAAGAGCATACCAATTACTAACTCTTAAATTGCAACTCTGGTTGGAAAATTGTTAGTCCACCCGCCTCCTTCTGCGCTGTGTAACAGACACTTCCACTTTTATATACATTATGCACTTAACAAGAGCTGAATGTCAATCACTATATCAATAACAGAATTCTAATTACAAGTTTGACATCTCTAGAAAAAACATAACTCCAAACTGTCTAGCACATTTTAAGCATATGAACTCTGCAGGTTTATAGAATCTAGGGTTGATTTGATCAGCCATAACAAAAACAAGCAGAGATAAGGTGACCAGGGACATGAAAGTCTGAAATACCATTGCTTTGAAGCAAGAACAAAGAATATTTTGAGTCTTCTTCAGAAGTCTACACATCCTGCACAACTAAGCTTGTGCCTAAGGGCCTGTTAAAATGATCCACTACTGCTCCTCTCATCAGTGAATCTTACCTTTCCCTCCTAACGTTAGAGGAGCTCAAGCAGGTATCAAATAAGGCATTTCATCATAACTCACAGAATTCGCTCTCTTTTAACTTTTTTACAACCACTAGCAAGTTGCCCACCTTAACCATATACCCCCAGGGCATGGTGTTCCATAATGGTACAGGCATCTACACTTAGTGTGCCAGAACAGCAGTCTTCCAGCATGCCTTTCATTTTTTCAGTTCCCATCAGAGATTTGTGTTAGGTTTGTTGTTTTGTTTATTAATTTTAAATTGGCAACTCAATAGTGCAAGTAGAAAAGCTACCTAACCAAAAAGGCCTCACATTCTGAGGATAAAGAGGTGCAACTGCTCAAGCCATTTTGTGCGAAGATGATGCTACTATCATACTTCACACTCAAAGAAATTCTCCAATCAATCATCAGAGACACAAAATGCAAGGCTCCAGGCACTTGCATGGCAAATTTCACCTGTCTTAAACCTCTGCAACTTTCATTGCATCTTTGAAAAGTCCTACCAAAAGCCTTCCTACCTAGGCAAAGTATGACAGAATGGCTGCAAAAGAATGACTGCCCTCCATTCTCAGAAATTATAATTTCTCAGACCTTCCTCATATTTCCCTCCTTTTTCTACAGTTCCAGGTGGTACTTCAAGATCTTTAAGGCAGAAGCAGTTTCAGCAATTGATTAGTAGTCTACAGGTAACAGACAAGGCAGCAGATAACATGAATTAGCACTAAAGATATAGATACAGGGCAAACAGCTATAGAGTTTACTGAGTTATTTAACTCCTCATACCTATTTGCCACATCCCCTCTGGCAGAGGTTCCCAATTTATCAGCAAAGTTAGAAGAGGACTGGAGTAGCCCTCAGCCTCTTCAGCTTGAGCTTCAGTAGTCTCCCTCAAGCTGCTGCATCCAGTCATTTGACCATAAAAGAACTTCAGTGAAGTGACTGAGGATCACTCCAAGATCCTGCTCTCTCTCCCCTGCAACCTGATTGCACCTTTTATCAGAGTGGCAATAGACAATAAACCCTTAAAGTGCTGCAGTTGTTTGCCAAAGGAGTGACTCAGTCCTCAGGTTACAGGTGAGGAAAATCAAGGATTGTTAACACTGCAGTTCAGCATACACTGCTTGAACATCTATTCGTTCTGGTACCTGGTTGGCATAGCCCCTTGGCAGGTGTGTGGCCCATAGAGGCTGCATGGCCAGCACTGCTGAGGGAACACCTTGCACTGGCCTTGATCCTGCCAGGAAAAATGGAAAATGTAGCTGTGCCAGTGCAACAAATACAACAAATTTGAGCTCACATTCTCCACACATAACAAAAGCAATAACCCAGAGTCACACCATTGCTGGAATTTCATCAGAGGAAATTCAGTTTCAAACAAAATAAAGCACTAAGGTCGTTCTGGAAGAGAGTAAAAAGCAATGGCAAAATCCCATAGCCCCCCACACGGTACAGCAAAACAGACCAAAAAACAGAGCTTAATTATAAACAAAAACCTTCCCAGCGGCCTTTTAAATTACAAACCTTAATCACTGTGAGAGAGACAGCTGTTCTAAGTGAGAATAGGGTGGGGAGTGTCTATTTTAAAGCCACAATTTTCTTATAATAAAAATGCTCATTCTAAAACCAGAGTTCCAGTGGGGAGAATTTTATGGATGATTATCCCTGAAAGAAGCTGTATGTTTCTTTCTGTGTACAGCAAAGCAGTTTCCACTCCTACTCTCAATCTAGGTAAAAGGCAGGTAATTTCAGTTCATCTCACTATTACCTTTCAAAGCCAGGAGGAAATGCCCAACAGAGAGCAGCACTAACCAGTCATCAAGAATGCAGGAAAGTTCACCAAGAGACTAGAGAGCAAACAGGACATTCCCAGGACCAAGGTATATTTGTCCAGGCTTTAAGTGTAAGGTTGCTGCTCTGTTGTCAGAGGGGCAAGCGCAGGTTTTTCACTGGGCCTGGTCACTGGGCACAGAGCGCTACGGGAACCCTGAGCAGCCTTTCACAGATGGGATGGCAGGAGAGGGCAGGACCAAAAGGAAAGATGGTGAAATAATTAAAGTATTCTGCGCTGCCTGAGACGGAACACAGGAGGAATTTACACGTTTTCCAATCCGCGAAGGCTGGCACGCAGTTGTTTCCCTTCCCTGAGGAAACCGCTCCTGTCACTGCCTGACACTTCCTGCGGGAGGATGCGGGTTGTTATGCCAGGCGGGCCTGGAACCGGGGGGGCCTGAGGGGCTGGGCCAGCCCGCCCGGCGGGGCCTCACAGGCCGCCCCGGCCCCGCCCGCCCCCCGTGCATCCGCAATCGCGTCCC